CAGTCGATAAGCTCCCCCTGCCTCCACCAGCAGAGCTCAGACAGACGCTGAGAGCCTTCTGGACGCTGCTGGGTCGGGTTCTGAGGTTCTGGATCATGGTGGAAACCACGTCTAAACGGGCCGCTGTTCTGCTGCTGTTTGCGCTGCACAGCTGTCTGGCCAACAATGGTACCAAGTATTTACTGTTTTGGTTCTGGTAGAAAACATCTCAGTATTAATCTTTAAATTGTGTCTCTTGATTATTTGATATTTTTCCAGTTTTTCTCAACAGCCAGCTGGCTTCACAGGTTCTGACCCGAAACCGCCGAGCCAATCAGCTGTGGGAGGAGATAAAACCAGGTAACCCAGCAGGTCAACCCGGCTGGACACACACTCTCCTCCAAGCGATTTGAGCAGTGTGTGTGTGTGTTGTGTCTCCTCAGGGAACCTGGAGAGGGAGTGTGTGGAGGAAATCTGTGACCATGAAGAAGCCAGAGAAGTGTTTGAGCAGAACGATAAAACGGTGCTTCTTCACTGTAACTGTCACGGCTCCCCACTCTGAGATCAGATCAATAAACAATAAACTCTTTGTTTCTGCAGGAAAAGTTTCTGGGCCACATATCTGGGTACGTAAATATCCTGCAGGGTTCTCCTCCAGCTGTAAGGAAGAACAAGGAAATGATCTAGAGACGATGATGTTGTGATCAGATCCTTTGCTTTGCCTCCTTTGCTTTTGCTTTAATTAAACTTAAATTAACTTGAAGTTTATTGGTTCTGGTGATATTTACTCCCAGAAGGACCAAGTTGTTACTGGACTTGGTGTTGATTTAATCCAGTTGGGTTTGTGGTTTAAACGAAGTTTATTCAGCTGATGCAGCTGCACTGCAAACAGAACCAAAGTCCAGAGGAGTTCAGCACACAAACATGCAGCTGCTGTTTGTCTCCAACAGACTGTAAAGGAACCAAGATGCAAAGAACAACAGAAAACATCAACATCATCAGGAGCTGTGTGCGAGGTAACAAACCGGTTACCAGAAGGTAACAGCAGGCAGCCAGTCGTCACATGGTTCACGGTGCTGCTGTGTGCAGGTGAGTGCATCACTGGTGTTGGAGGAAGCTATAAAGGAGACATCAACATCACAGAATCGGGCAAAAAATGCCAATACTGGACAGGCAGGTTCCCTCATCCCATCTACAGGTATGTTTACCTGACCAGAGGAACAGGAAGCTCTCTGCTGCAGGCTACTGAAATGACTTATCTACAACAACTTCACTAATTAAGTCAAGAAACCACAGAACACCAACCAACCCAGTGACCAACAGATCAACCAACCATGTTTTCAACAATCCAAACAAATTGGCCAACCACAAGTTCATGTGTGGCACAGAACAACCAATCAATGAATCAATCAATTAACTGGCTAAGATATTAGTTCAAGGCTTCCCAACTAACTTGACTACTAATTTTATCAGTAATTAAACTAGCTAATCTGTAAACCATCGAACAGATCAGTTAACCAGCTTAATGAGAGCTTTGAGTGTCTCACTAATTACCAAACCTGAGACATGAGATGAACCAGCAACCTCACAGAATTAACAACCCAGGTACATGAGAACCAAACAACATAAATCTACTGCAACCCAACCAGTCAACCATTGACCAACTCTTAAGCAAACCAGAACCAGTCAAATGCCCAACAACAACCAATAAGTGTGAAATTTTACAAGTCAACAAACTAATGGACCCGAAATTCTGTGGTAACTGTTTGTCTGCAGGGAGTTTAATGCTTCAGAACCAAACAGCATCCTGGAGGAGAACTTCTGCAGGAACCCTGACAACCGTCCAGGAGGACCTTGGTGTTTCACCACTGACCCAACGGTCCAGAAAGAGACCTGCAGAGTACCTAAATGTGGTAAGAGTTCACCTGAATTTATTTAAACACTGCCTTCATGGTCTGCTGCCACCATGTTGTTTGGTTGTGGAAGGATAGTTTGAGTGAACTCCTGCTTCTTGTCAAGGTGAGGTGTTTGTCCCGACCACTGTGGCACCAGAACCAGTCAGAACTACGGTGTGTTTACCGAGCTATGGCATTGACTACACTGGTGACCTCAGTGTCACGGCGCAAGGGCACACCTGTCTTGAGTGGTCATCACCAGAGACTGTGGCCCTCAGCCGGGGCAGAGCCTTCATCCCAGAGGTGGTTCTGGACAGAAACAAGTGCAGAAACCCAGACAATGACCCTGAGGGCCCCTGGTGCTACGTGGAGATTTCTGGAAACATCACAATCGACTACTGTGACCTGGAGTTGTGCGGTACGGTACCAACCCATGACCAGTGATTACCCCAGCATACGGGTCGGCCGGCCCCTCACCTGTGGCTGCTGTTCACCTGTGTGTCTCAGACGATCCGCTGTTTGGTGAAGAGCAGACAACAGACGACAAAGGAACAGAGCGAACAGTCCTGGGTCCAGAGAAAAAACTCTTCTTCAGTCCTCGCTCCTTTGGTCAAGGAGAAAGTGGTGAGTCACCTGATCACAGCTCTTTGTCATGGCCTGACCTGGTAACAAGCAACATGTTACAATGTACCTAGTTAAAATGAAAATACATAAAAAATGTTACAGAAATGTCTGTATTTTAATGAATTAAGTTGACATTCAGACATAAAACTGAACATAAAAAAGCAGCTGCCAGAAATCAGTGTTTCTTGGTTAGATCTAGTGGCACGCTATTGGTGTTTGTTTCACTGTACCAGTTGATGGAGATACTGGCAGACTGGTGTGTTAACTGGTTTGGGGCGTGTCTGACTGGGACTCCTTGTGTTCCAGTCTGTGGGCAGCGTCCTCTCTTTGAACAGAAGGGCATACAGGATAAAAACGAGAACGAGCTTCTGGAGTCCTACAGAGAGCAACGGATCGTTGGGGGTGATGATGCTGAGGTTGCTTCAGCTCCATGGTAACCGCACCTTCAGCTGCGGGACATCCTGGCTGTTTACCACAATAAAAGTCAGATCAAGGATTTTTCTGTTTGCAGGCAGGTGATGCTGTACAAACGCAGCCCACAGGAGCTGCTATGTGGAGCCAGTCTGATCAGCGACGAGTGGATCCTGACTGCAGCGCACTGCATCCTCTACCCGCCCTGGAACAAGAACTACACCGTCGACGACATCCTGGTCCGACTGGGGAAACACAACAGAATCAAGTGAGACAACCTGCCTGCTGTCTTCTCCAACAATCACCATATGTTGATCTCAGAAGAACTGGCACCGGTCCGACTTTTTAACTAGAAATATTCAATTGGGTTGAGGTCAGGGTCTTGTGGAGATTAGCTTGGTGGACACAAGAGACTATTTGGATCTATTGATGAGAAGAATGATCTGGGAATCTGAAGCATGGTAGTGGGACCATCACTACCATGATGGTTGTTTTCGCTGCCAAAACAATTGGCAGCGAATTGTTTTGCTGCCAATTGTACTGGTGCATTACACAAAGAGGAAGGAATAATGAAAGGAGACCACCTCAACATTGTTCCACTTCACCTCAAACTAAGGTGGTAGATACCTGGAGGTGTATGTATAGTTGTGACCCAGTTTAACATGACATCCCTGCTGACCAGAGGAGCATCCTTTGTCTTGTCTCCAGGTTTGAGCGAGGAATCGAGAAGATCGTGGCGATCGATGAAATCATCGTCCATCCCAAATACAACTGGAGGGAGAATCTGAACCGGGACATCGCTCTGCTGCACCTGAGGCGACCCGTCACATTCTCAGACCAGATCCATCCCATCTGCCTGCCCACCAAGGCGGTCGCCAGAACGTAAGACAAACACACCTGTCTGTCCAAACCTTTATGCATGAAGATTTTGTCTCCATTGTCCAACTGGAAGCAGAAACCATGTTTTCCTCACAGGTTAATGAGCGAAGGCTTCAAGGGGCGAGTGACCGGCTGGGGGAACCTGAAGGAAACCTGGAACCCTTCAGCCAGAAACTTACCTTCAGTTCTCCGACAAATCCACCTTCCAATAGTGGAACAGGACACCTGCCGCAAGTCCACCGCAGTGAGGATCACAGACAACATGTTCTGTGCAGGTAACGGTTCCTGTTGATCAATCAGGTGTCCACCATGCCTCCATCTGGACTCGGACAATGCTCCAGTTAGGAGTTCTGGTTTGAAAGTCAGGAATGTCTGATCCTATGAGTCTAATATGGTCACTGTTTGCAGACCCTGATTGTTGCTGTAATTCTAATGTCTTTCTGCCCGAAGTTCTCCTCTAAATATGAGGCTTTGTTCCTGCAGGTTATAAACCAGAAGAGAGCGAACGTGGCGACTCCTGTGAGGGCGACAGCGGAGGACCGTTTGTGATGAAGGTAAGGAATGAGCCTGCAATGCTTCTAGTGGCCATCAGGGGGTGATATCTTTAATAAAAGAAGTTGATAGGTAAAAGTCTTTGTGTTTGACTCGGATGCGAGTTTCCAGCCTGATCCAGAATCTGCACTGTGTTCAGTACCCGGCAGAGAACCGCTGGTACCAGATCGGCATCGTGTCCTGGGGCGAGGGCTGCGACCGCGACGGGAAGTACGGCTTCTACACCCACCTGTTCAGGATGGGCCGCTGGATGAAGAAAGTGATCGAGAAGTCGGGAGGGGAGACGATGACTAGACCCAGAACATCAGTCACTTCCTGTCAAATAAAAGTTTGTCCACATCGCCTGATTATCCTCCGCTTTGGTCATTTAGCGTGAAAATGGATCATAGATGCACAAAGTTTAATCCAAACGGACGTCCAGCGATTTTATTCAGAGGTTCTGTTCAAAGACATCGGAAGTTCTACAAAGAGATCCAATAAATCTGTTCATCATCTCAGCTGAAGAGAAGTTAATCTAAAAAAAACATATTTACATGATATTTAAAATATATCCTTTATCTGCTCTGCATCAGGTCTGGAAATAATTCTCCTTCATAAACATTCATTTGTTCACACTGTATGAACAGGCATTTAAGTAGAAAATGAGTCAGAGATCAGAACAGCTGCTCCTTAGGAGGTCAGGCCTCCTCCACAGGCTCCGCCTCCTCCTCCACAGGCTCCACCTCCTCCTCCACCTCCCTGTCAGCAGTTCTGTGGGTCAGCAGGTGTCTTTTCAGGTGAGTCTGTCGGGTGTAGCTCTTGGAGCAGAAGGTGCAGGGATGAGGACGAATGTTACTGTGGGACAGCAGGTGCTTCTTCAGGTCGAAGCGTCTCCGAAAACACTTCCCACATTCAGGACACGAGAATGGCTTCTCTCCTGCAGCAGAACCAGGCGGACAGAACTGGATTTACTGGACAGGTTGCAGTCAGACAGAACCCACCGTGTGGCTAACCTTCAGTAAGTTACAGACAAATCTTGATCTGCTTTAGAAACTGTTCACGTTTGTATTTTAGACTGCTTTATGGAAACAGTTACATGTCCAGTGAGGCTAACAGAGCTGCTAACAAAGATGCTGATCAGAGAGGCTAACAGGGATTTATTGATTATAAGAGTCTGAAAACTCCAATGCAGCAGTGAGATTGGTGAATAAATAAATCCTTCAGCTTTATATTACCAATGTTGTTATTCTTGTTCTTACTGCTGGCTAACATTCAGCTCCAGGATGCTGCTGATGAAGGTCATGTGACCAGCTGACCTGTGTGTATGCGGCGGTGCTCAGTCAGGTGGCAGGAGATGGAGAAGGCTTTCCCACACTCCTGGCAGACGTAGGGCCTCTCCCCTGTGTGGGTCCTCATGTGTTTCTGCAGGTCTCCACCAGAGGGCCACGCCTTCCCGCACACCGTGCAGACGTACGGTTTCTCTCCCGTGTGCTGCTCACGTGCACGCTGAGGCCGGCGTGCGCGGTGAAGTCCTTAGGGCAGTAGGGGCAGCGGAAGGGCCGCTCCCCGCTGTGGGTCCTCAGGTGGCCCTCCAGGCCGTCGCAGGTCTTGAAGCACTTGCCGCACTGAGGCACAGGAAGCGGTTGTCGCCGCTGTGGGTGGCGCGGTGCGACTGCAGCCCCGTCACCGAGCTATACGACTTGTCGCACTGATCGCACTGGTAGGAGCGGGAGGAGTGGCTGCGCTGGTGGATGCGCAGCTGAGTGACTCCTGCAGACGGAGGAGGGACAAGTTTAACTCTGTCTACCTGTTCCCAGCAGCCAATTAGAGTGGGTCTTACCTGAGAAGCTCTGGTCACAGAACAGACACCTGTAGACGCACTCGGCTCCCTCGGCTGAGTGAGTCTGCAGGTGGCGCAGCAGCCGCGTCTGCGAGCTGAAGGTCTGCGCGCAGACGGAGCAGGTGAGGTCGTGCAGACGGTGGGTCTGCTTGTGATTGGTCAGGCTGGACTGGAGCTGGAAGGCGCTGTCACACTGGTTGCACCGGTAGACGGGCCGGGTCAGGTGAGTGCGGCAGTGGGTCACCAGCTCGGTTCTGGTGGTGAAAGTGGAGCTGCACTGGAAGCAGGCGTGGGCCCGGAGGGGGCGGGGCTCCCCCTCACTCCGACCCTGCAGGGCTCCAGATTCGGATTTTCCTGACGACCCGCAGGTTCTGTTAGAGCGCAGGTGGCGGATCACCTGGGGAGCAGCTCAGTGGTTACAGGGGCAGAAAGGCATCAAGTCATTAAATATCAGTCCTGATTGGAGCCTCTGGTGTTTCTGAAGCTCAGCCTTCAGGACATAAACCCAACATGGCTCCTCTATCAACCCTTCAATGTTTTTACCAGTGTTGCTTTAAGAAGTAGCTCGTAAAATGAGCTCAGTAGGTGTTTGCTAATTGCTGCTGGCTCGTCTGAAGGAGTTGAGTGGGGGAGGAGCTACTTTTGGAGGCGGGGCTAGGCCCGCAGCTGAATGGTTGTCAGGTACACTGAAGGATTTTTTCAAACAGGTTTTCCACCCTGAGAGCTGGCAGGTAAACACTCACCTGAGAGCGGTAGATGAAGCACTTTCTACACGCAGGACACCTGTGAGCTACACGCTGGGAATTATGGGAAATGGCTGTGAGCTGAGAGCCCTCTGATTGGCCAGGTGAGTCTTTCATCCTGACTCCACCCTCAACCACAGGTGTGACTCCGCCTCCCTCTGGGCTCAGATTGGACACCTCCAGCTCCTCCTCCGACCCGCTTTGACCAATCATGTCCTGCGTCATCAGCTCCACCTTCACGTTCAGCTGAGGCGGGCCTCCCTCTGATTGGCCGGATTGGTCAGGGTGGGCGGGGCTAGTGAGGAGTGGGTGGGACCAGGCTGACAGGAGCATTTCCTCAGTTTCACCAGAAACTGGAGGAGAGAATAAATGGATCAGAACAGATCCAGACTCAGAACCTCTCTCTGGTTATGATGTTGTACCTGCGGTTGTTGCTCGGCCCAGTCGGCAGCTCTGATTGGTCAGGAGCTCCATCAGGTGTTTCCTGTCCGTCTCCTGCAGAAAGTCCTCCAGAACACAGGGGGCATCGTGGAGCCAACAGGCCGCCTGCAGGAAGAACGGACAGCGGGTCAAACAGACGGAGGCGTGAGGAAGAGGAGAGGCTCTGGGCACCTGTCTGAAGTCCGGCACTGGAAACAGCTGCTCGATCCGGGTCAGGAGGTCCGACAGCAGCGCCTGGAGGGCGGAGTCAAAGCGCTGGTCAAACACTTCCTGGAAGAGGAGCAGAACAGGCAATGAAGAGGGAAGGAGTCTCAGGAGAGCTGCAGTGAAACCACCCACCTGCAGGAGGCACTGTGAGTCAGCAGGAGTCTGAGTAAGAGAGAGGAGAGCAGAGCAGCACTCAGTCAGCTGTTCATCCTGCTGGAGGAGGAAGAGGAAGAGTCAGAGTCTGCTCCTTTCCAGCTGCTGGGATTTTATCTACAAAAAGTTTTTCATCTTTTTTAAGTGAAATAATAACATTTATCATTTCAAAAAATAAAAATCTGAGAAGTATGGTATGCATTTCTGTTCCAACTCAACACTTTGTACCACATGTCAGTATCGGTTCTCAAGTCCTCAAACAAAAACATCCCAACAAACTAACTCTTGAAAATCAGTGTGAATAATTTTACTGAGTTAGAGTTCCTCTTTTTTTTTTGGTATGTTGATGAAGTTTCTGCTCAGTGAATTGATTTAACTTCTCTTGATAAACCTGAGTTTGTGACATTCTTTCTGCTGTCTTACCGATGCTTTGGAGATGCAGCGGATTCTCTCCAGGTGAGTCTGATCATCAGCAGGGTGAGAAAGGGTCACCTGAAAGATGTTAGAGTAGGGGATGTGTTCTTCAGCACATTTTCTAGCAACATTTTGTTTCCAAACAGCTGACATAACACCCACCTTGGCCCTCAGAGCCAGCAGAAGAACACCTCTCTGCCTTTCTGTCAGCAGCTGTGGGATGGCCTCTGTCACCAGGGTAACAAACTCCTCCAGCATCCCATAATGCTTCACGCTCTGCTGCTGGATCACCTGCCACATGGCCGCCGTCAAAAGGCGGAGAGGAGAGAGGAGGAGGCGCAGAGAGGAGGCTGGAGAGAAGAGGAGACATTAAACACTAGGAGGATCATTCTGTGGTGAAATGACCTTTTCTTCTGATCAATAAGTTGGACACAAACTTGCTGTGATGTGGAAACAAATAAATTACTTCTCAATTTGTTGGATAATAGAAGAACTCAAATAATTATAATTATCCAGACTTTTACTGGACTGAGGCCAGAGGACTGACCCGGATCAGATCCTGATGGAGCTGTTTAAATAAACTAATGGTTAACCAGTGACAGAACAGCCAGTAATAGCGGTGTAACTAAGGCATTTAAAGCAATAGTTGACTTATCGACACGCCGATTTACAGAAAACCTCCAGCTGACTGGAACCAACAGTTGTTGCATGTTGATGGCAGATTTAAAGCGTCTCTAACCAACAACAGGGCAGAATTAAAAGTTTTTTCTTTGGGCTTCAGGCTAACATTAGCACTGCTCTGCGGCACAGCTTTGTAATAAAAGTGTTAAAAGTTGGTCTGTCCTGTTGAAGTGAGTCAGTAAACTCTCACCCTTCATCCTGAAGCTCACCGACTCTTGTCCTCCTCTTATATCCGCCCTGTGCAGCTCGGCTAAAAGCTAACGGCTAACTTTTTGTTTACAATCCGCCACCAGCCACTGGCTCCGCCCACTTCCGGTTGTATCGCGATGCAGGAAATACGTCCTGGTTGCGCATGAGCCTGGAGAAAATTACATAAAATTAATATAAGAAATATTTACTATATATTTTTTTATGTTTATTTTTAGTAGGTGTTTACAGCTTTTTCACTCAAATTATATCAGAATTTCAATGACTTATTAATATTACTACTATTATAAATCATCATAAAAATATATGCAAGAGATATTATTGTTATACATTTATAGAATAGCATAGATGTGCAGTTTCCAAGAGGAATAACTTTGTTTTTCTAAACATATTTGTGTTTATTAGGTACAAGTGAAGATTCCAAAATATTTTGTAGCACGTATTTCTATAAGGTCACTATCAAAAATAAAATTGAAAACAAAATGACAGATGGTGTTTTGGTGTTGATTTCCAGATCTGATTTCTCTGTAAGTGATTTTTTTTCATTCTTTAATTATGTTAAACATGTAGTTTAATAGGTTCAGCATGTGTTACAGAATGATTTATATTTTTGCAGAAAGATTAGATGAAGCAAGAGAACAAAAGGAGGAAACTGTCCTGTCTGAACCTCACCAGTGACTGGAGCTGGTTTTATAACACCAGCGTTTATCAGATTGATGAAGATGATAATCAATAAGCAGCTGAAATGCAGTGAGGGGTTTTCAGCTCATGTGACACAGATCCTGTAAGCAGCTGTAATCTTCTCCTCCTCCTACAGGTCGTCTCTAAAGGGATTACTGCAGACCTGAGGTCAGAGCGCCACATTCTGCAGAAACAAACACAAGCAAAGCAACAACAAGCAGAAGAACAGCTGAGGATTGATGTGTGGAGGCGCTGAAGACAGCAGAACAAGTCCACCGTCTGGATGGACCTTCATCTTACTGGCTCCTCTACCTCTGCTGCTGTGCTTGACCAGCTAACCTAATCCCTGCAGTGGACTTCAACCACACATTGGTGGTTTTACTGCTGAGTAATCCAACATTCAATCCCAATAGTTGGTGCTGCTGAGGCAGATGGATCCAGACAGAGAGGAAGATGTGTTTTCAGACGCTGAAGACTCCTTAACTCTGAAAGAAGACCAGGAAGAAGAAGACGAAGAGGAAGAAGAGGACGAAGAAGAAGATGCCAGGATCTTCAACGCCTGGATGCAGCAGTACAGAGGAGGGGAACCTCAGAAGAAACAGGTGCAGGAAGAGAAGGAGGAGGATGACGAGGATGTGGAGTCAGAGGGAGGAAGACCTGAAAGCAGATGCAGCTTTGAGTCGCCGGTCCAGATGAGGGTTGACGCCGCTCGTCTTTGCCCTGTCCGGTATGAAAACACAAAGTGTTGCTGGTGTTTAACGATGCGATCCTGATCAGTCAGGGCAGAGAATAGGATGTTTGTTCAGTTCTTCTGGTGCGTCTGCTCCGAGGTTCTCTCACCCTAACGTTCTGTCTCAGGATCCAGAATAACTGCTGATAAACCTCATGGTCTCGGTATCCTGCCAAGGTCAACAGATGGGTCACCTAACATAACGAGGGGATTAGATATGAAGTTATGGGAGAGTCTGGATGAGCCTGGATGTTGACGGAGAGTTCTGGTTGCAGAAGCAAACTAAACAGTCACTGGATGGCAATATTTATCCCTTTACTTCTTATTAGTAAGGCAATAAGTTCATAAATAGGCCTTGAATGCAATCATTGATGATCAAGGATTTTGAAACTCAGTTTTCCTCAAACTGCTGTTGGTTTCAAAAGACATTCAGGCATCTTGATGCTAAATGAGGATTGTCAGGGTTTCCCTGGACTCTGGCTTAGGCCAGGTCTCTATCAACCAATGAAAACTGTTTTTCAACAACGCTTTGGGCTTTCCAGGTGTTTCAGTTCATCTTCACAGGTTGTTCCTGGAAGCCTTTGTAGAAGTTCATGAAAGGGATTCCTGGTCTGGTTCAGGTAAACCTCTGGCAACCCAAGACTGAAGGGCTGAAACATCTGGATGTCTCATTGTAATCTGACTCCACTTAAAATAAACCCAAGCTGTGTGAAATGATGTTCAGATACTGCTTCTAATTATTTTAATAAAAGCTGCTTTGCTCTCTGTTCAGTGATGAAAGAAAATCATCTGTGACGATTCAAACCTTCCTATAATGGATGGGTAAAAAAACAGAAATATTTTAAAACCACTGATGCTAAATATTGAACCTGCTGAGCCAGATCACAGCAGTACTGTCAGGTTTCTTCTTGTGTAAATATAAGTGAAGAAATTATCCTCCTAATTTTGTAAAATTTTAAAAACTGTTGGTTCTCATCCAGGATGTTGTAATCATGAGTTTTAATTGACGAGTCTCCAACCATGTCCACATTTTGGACCCAAAACGTGGATTTTGTGAGGCTTCTTGATGTTTGCGTTCTTCCAGTGATGACCAGGAGACTTAAGCAGTCAGTTTGGTTCACTTCACTCCGTTTAGTCAGAGCTTCAATCCTAACCCTAACCCAGGGCTTACATCCTCTGATCTCCTCGCAGTGAGAGCAGGGAAACGCTGCGTTAGCTGTCAGCCCTGCAGAGCTTCTCCTCTGCTGTATTTAGCTCTGGGTCACTTGGCTCAGGGAGAAGCTCTGTGGTTTATCTGGGTGTTAGAGAGAAACATGACCTGAGAGCAGCTAATCTGGCCTTTACACCTCCTGACACCACAAAACACAAATAGGACTTGGTTGTTTTTAGCTTGTTTGTTGGAACTTCATTCTTAACACATTGATCAACTGACAGATTGATTGATTGATCATGTGTGTCCAGGCCACCCTCTCGTCCATGCAGTTGTCTCGCCTTCACTCCTCCACACGTGCTCCAGTGACAGCCAGGGTTTTGCTGCGCCGCTCCTCCTCCCGCCGCCTCCTTCCCTCGCCACAGGAAGCTGCCGTCCCCCAGCTGGAGCGAAGACCCTCGCTCATACCCAGCATCCCCGAAGCCGTGCCTCCTGAGAGGCGGGCCCAGTTCAGACGAGGAACGTCATGTCGATGGTGGGTGCAGAGCCAGGTTGACGTCTTCAGCTCCACATGTGATTCATGAGTTCATGTGAATGAAACGTGTGTTGCAGAGTGATGCGTACAGCATGTGTCTGATCTGCCATAATGACTTAAGCCAAGGATCAGGAGGGACCAGAGAGCTGCAGTGTACACACACCTTCCACAAAGAGGTAACACACCCACAAAGAACACACTGCTGAATACTACTGCTGACCTCATTTAGTCGTCTGTTTCAGTCGATCCATCCTGGTGAAGCAGTTTCTGTTGTGTCTCCCTGCAGTGCATAGAGGAGTGGCTGTGGAGGAAACAGTCCTGTCCAACCTGTCATGTCCAGGTGTGCATACCTCAGCCTCTCTACTGGAGCTCCACCAGGGTCAAGGTCCCCTGAGACCTCCCTGAGACCGGACTATGTCTTCAAACAGCTCCTCTGATTTTATTACAGAGATCTGATCCCATCCTGTGAAACTCGGTTACAGCTCAGCTGTGACGACAGACTTCAGGTCTGTGAGAGCGATACATGACTGTCTCTTCATGCTCCGTTTATTGGGCTGGATAAGTTTTCACTGCAAGACCAACAAGTTCTCTACAGTTCAGCCGGCTGCCTTCATAGCACAGCAAAACCACTGGAGCCCTGATTTTACTCCAGAAAATCAGCGTTATCGCTGGTTTTTAAGAGATTTACAGTGGAGAACCTCACGGATCAATCAATGACTCATAGCTGCTGATGGTCAAACCAGCTTCATCCAGGGGTTCCCATTGGTCCAGGTTGGCGGATCTTTGACGGCTGAAGATCCAACACTATCAAGATCAACTCAGGACAAAACACATTTAAACCTTTTAAACAGGCTGCATTTCTCTGGCCAAGTATTTACAAGGACTTTCTCTTTATTGGGAAAATATCTTTATTTACCAGTTAATTTTGCACTCTGTTTTCTTCTACATTGGCTAGATTTGCTTACAGTTGGTATGTTTTGCATTTTGAGCTTATTTCTAAATATTCTGAGATGCTTGATAAATAAGAAAAAACTTTATGAAATAAAACTGAAGCTATGGTTCTAAAACACAACAGAATAATATTTAAGCTGATTTACAACAACTTTAACCTCATTGTAATGCTTTTTTTTTTAAAGCTTTACGAATGTTATAATGTTTTCCTTTTTTTGACTGATTACATATGTACAAACATGGGTGCCGGCTGAATGTTGCTTTAACAATGTAAAAAACATCCAAGGGTATAAAGCCGTAAGTTTACTTTAATAAAAAATAGCTATTTTAGTTTTATCTGAAGAAATTGTCTTATTTAAGTAACATCAACAAAATATTCCTCATATAAATGTTCGGGTGTGAAACAGCGCCTCCCTCTGACGCGTTGTGGCCAGAGGCGGTACTGCAGGCGGAAGTGCTGCACCTGTTGAGGTAAAAGTCTGTTCCTCCTGCCGGAAACTTTGACGGCTCACCTGGTCAACCTGGACCCACCGACCCGCGGCCTGCTGGGAGGTTCTGGACGTTCTGCGGCGGTTCTGGAAGGAGAGCGGGTCAATGGATAAACTGAAGCAAGTTCTGGGCGGGCAGGACGGCGGCGGCAGCTCGGACGGGAGCGGCATACTGGAGGTGCTGTTAGCCGCTTACTGGGAGGAAACCAGTTCAAAACAATAGAGACTCAGAAATGAATCATTAGTTTTACACGAGAAACGGAGGGGAAGGTTTATAGTTTACTCAGATAAAACACATTTATGACTGCATATTTAACTGTTTTGTTAAGAGTTCATTATTAATAAGATCTAATAATTTAATAAAGAACATGTGATCAGAATGTTAAATTAAAGCGAAACTGCTGCTGCTGTCATTCTGACGTAAGATGAGCTTCTGTGCCATATGAGCAAGAAAACAACAAATAGTTTAAATAATTATATTTGTTTTTTCATTTGTAATGTAAACAAAATATTTACAATAAATTGTACAAATGAACATAATGAATGAATGTGGAAGATATATTACAACCAGTAAAATGTCTAATAAAATAAATTTAGTTTTTGAGGCGTTTGTATTGAAGAGGACAAATATGAAATTACATCAACTAAGAATGTATTAAATTTGGGGTTTAGCTTCATAAAATTACAGCTGTAGAGATTAAAGTTGAATAATATTAATATTAGGTTTATTTCCAATTTTATATCTTTCCAAAACATTTGAGTATAACGTCAGTCCCAGAATAGATGGTGACGTTTCCTCACAGCTGAACACAATGGTTCTGCATTGGGTCAATATTTCACTGTTGACATGTTATAATCTGTAATCTATGCAGAATGTTTGTTTTAATAAGTTGCATTTAAGGGTTTTAATGATAAATGACATCACGCCTGCAGAGAGCCAATCAGGCGTCCACTCTGGCCTGGGGGACCCGGATGAAGGGCTTCGTCATCTGCTTCATACTGGGGGCCGTCTGCCATACTGGTGAGGAATAATCACACCATTAACAGCTGAGGTGAGTTTTGTCCTCTGTCCCTGATGGAGGACGTGTGTGTCCAACAGGCTACCTGCCTGCTGTGGATCCCAGGGTTTGGACTTCCTGTGTTCGCTGTCCTCTACACCGTAGGAAACCTCTGCGCTCTGGCCAGGTACCAACCAGAACCAACCAGAAATGAGCAGAACCTTTAGTTCTGCCGAGACCAGAACCTCCTGGATTTGTGCAGATGTAACTGGGTGTTTATTACTTTAATATGTTGCTCTCATGTGTCGTCACAGTTCTGCTCGTCGACAGAACCTTGTGCTTTATAAATCTTTGTTCCGGATTTCAGGCGCCTCCATGTTTTGCTCCCTCTACTAGACAGTTAACTTTACTCTAATAAAGTCTGACATATTTTCATCCTCTGTCTCAGACGGGTGGATCTCACCAGCAGCTGTTTTGTATCGTTCTCCTCCAGATTGGTCTTTGTGCTGCACTTGCCTACTAAGATGGCGCAGATCTCTTCTGGTTTACGTCCGTTCTGTCTTTGTAACTCTTCATGTGAATAATGAGGTTGTGTAATGAGGAAGAGTGCGTTCCCATAGCATAGAAAGTTCTGTGTTGCTGAAATGTCGCCCCCTTGTGTGGTGAAACTGTTCCTATTGGCCGTGTTTCAGCACCATGTTCCTGATTGGTCCGTTACGGGCAGCTGAAGAAAACATGTGCGCTAAGGTCCGAGCCCTGGCCACCGCCATCATGCTGGTCAGAACCAACCTTTGGCTCGTTGAAACACTTCCAGGTTCTGATCCCAGTTCTGACTCTGATGTTGGTTTGTCTGCAGGTCTGCCTGGTTCTGACTCTGTGCGCTGCATTCTGGGTGAGAATCGGACTCTGTGTGAAAACTTCCTGGTTCTGTTGTTGGTTATTAGAACTCTGTGGTTCTGGTTCTGGTTCTGCAGTGGAAGAACAACGGCTTGGCGCTGCTGTTCTGTGTGCTGCAGTTTCTGGCCTTCACCTGGTAAAACACACACCTGAACACACACACTGGTTCCTGCCTCACCTGTCTGACCTCTGCTGTCTGTGCTGCAGGTACGGCCTGTCTTACATCCCATTCGCCAGGTAAGCTCACACCTGAGGCTCCGCCCACCTGGACCCACCTGTGTCCAGCTAACCCAGGTCTCACCTGCTGTCTTTCAGGGACGCTGTCATCAAGCTGTTCTCCCTCTGCATGTAGAGCCACCAATCAGGACACGGGATGCTGGGGTGTGTATCCAATCAGGAATCAGGTTTTATTTATTAATAATCACATTGGATCTAATTCGCCATGTTAACATAGAATGACGCAGCTTTAGTTTCATATTATTGCATTTCAGATTCAGGCTAAAATATTTAAAGTTTATTTAAACTACGGTGGAGTTTTGGGGCCAGACTAAAGGATCCTGACTTTATTCACCTTTTGTTACTTTATTCTGATATTGTTGCAGCTCTGTTACCAAATTATGATGTTATTTCTGAGTTATTATTATGTCACTGTGACGTTGTTGCAACTTCACTCATAATTTCACTAAACTAAATTCTTTTAGTCTAACCCAAATTCCATATTGTGAAAAATAAATGAACATATAAACGTTAAATTTTAAAGCTTCTTGGTCACATTTATGCTCTTCTTCAGCTGTTTTATAATATTTAATATTCTGATCACAAAACACTTCAAATGTAGTGAATTATTCACAGATTGTGTCATAATAATTACACTACTGAATGTGAGCCAGTTATTTATTATTATTATTAAAAAAGGTGAAGAAAATGAAATATGAGGATAATTTTTATTGAATTGATAATAACTGTATTATTTTAATCTATTTATTTGATTTGTTTTGGTTTTCATTTGGCCGTGTTGTTGTTCCATATTAGCAGGGTCTGTTGGTTCAAGCTTTAATTCCTGTGTAATAATTATGTATTTTATTAATATGAATGTATGTGAAAACCTGGCCTTATTATTATTATTATTATTATTATTATTATTATTATTATTATTATTATTATTATTATTATTATCAGCTGCAGAGCTGATGATCATTTTGCCTGAGAACAAATCCACTAATGTTCCTTCGATCATTATGACACATTTCATCAGAATTATTTATTAATTGATTCCTTTATGGAAATGATTGTAAATATTTCCTGCTTTAACAACATTTCATTGATTTCTTTAATATTTAATTGAAATATTTTGATAAATTCTTTAAATTTGAGCATTTCAATGAGGGATCCTCCTTCCTGTAAGTTTTAGCTTGACTAATATCAGAAACATCTAGCGCCCCCTTCAGTCCCGGTGAGGAAGTGGAAGATGGTTTTACTTTCATGAGAACATTTTTGTGTTTGTATAATTTGAATTTGTGTTTCTGAACATCCTTTTTTCTCCAGAAGTTTTGTATTTCCTGTCAAATCTGAATAAATGTATTTTTGAGGCAAAGTGTGTGAGACAGTCATGTTTTCTACCTGAGCTTTGTGTTTACCCGCCTGCCTGCTTCCAGTCGTCTTTGTTCCTGCTAAGTCCTTAAAGCCAGTAATCTCCACCTCCACCTCGGCCGGCTGATTAAAGCCTGGCTGCAGATCAGATGTCCACTGCGTGCGCTTCCAGATGTTCTCCACTTGGATTTGACCTATTCTCCATTACATGCTGCTCTAAACAGCTTATGGTGTTTCTTCCTAGGTGCTGAGTGACATTTAAACCCGGAGGAGGGAGAAGATCCAGAGACGACTGAAGCTTCGTCAAGGTTTCAGTTGATTAATCCAGATTTTGTCTCTTCAGGTCAGATCTTTCTGATACAGGTACATTGATCCGATCTGCAGATCTTTGGTTCTGAACCGATATCCACTGGAAGAACGAGGCTCCAGTTGGACGCAGGGGAGTACTGGACTCTTCGGCGCCAAACGTGGCATCGCCCAATGCACTGGGCCTTTGCTTTCTCGCTTTCTCCCTTTGACTTGGATTGTCTCTGTTTGATTGTTTTGACTGGACCAATCAGTGAGCAGAAGGAGAAGTTGTGAATGATGACGTCGACTTTCTGAGTCAGTCTGCCTGTGGTTTAGCGATGGAGGAAGTGAAGGAAGCCGTTCAGTCCGTGTTGGCCACGCCTCCAAATAATGAAGGAACATTAACAGTTTGGATCGAATCAGATGGTCGTTTATAGCATAGCTAATTTATGGTAAACTTTTAGTGCATTACATAGGTCACGGCCAAACGCTGCGTAAAACTTTGGCTCCTAAATACGTGTCGCCATTCAGAGACACGTGATCCAAACGAGTTCTGGAACCAAAGTTCCTCCTGGTACCAGTGACCCGTCCTCTGATTTTAGTGCAGGAGGGTAGAGAAGGTCCGTCTGACCCAAACCAGACTGGTTGAAGCTTCACACCGTTTGGGTCACTGGTCCGATGTCCAGCTGTTCTTCAGATCCTTCTTAGACCATCTCACAGGTTCTCTTGTGAGCCATCGACGGTTCTGCTGTCTTTGGTTCCCCGTTCGGTTTGGGTCGACTCAGTCGAGATCCTGGAGGCTCAAAGAGCGCAGAACGGTCCGATAGTTTGGACTTTTCTAACGTCTAGAACTTTTTTAATCAGAGACTCAAAGGAGAAGAAAAAATTGATTGATTGAAGATTTTTCTGATTTGCATTAATATTTAAGTTACAGATCAATCTGAGCCTGAATCTGGTGGTTCTGAGAGTTTGGACCGCAGTTGTTTAGAACCATCTCAGCTTATTGAATGTGAACGGATTCTGGTTTTGTCTAAGATAAAGGAACAGGGTTTGGACTTCTTGATTGGCTCCATGTCTGAAATTATAGATTTCAGGTTCTGGTTTCTCTTCCTGCTCCAGTTTCATATCTTCTCTTTTTACAAATCAAACATTTTTCATCATAAAGTGATTTATATGATGTGCTTTAATTGTTGCTGCTGGTTCTGGTTCTAGCGGGCGGTTCTGTCAGGATCTGGGCGTTCAGGGCAGTGAGAGCAGAGCGGTGTGTGTGTGTGTGTGTGTGTGTGTGTGTGTGTGTGTGTGTGTGTGTGTGTGTGTGTGTGTGTGTGTGTGTGTGTGTGTGTGTGTGTTGGGTGGAGCGATCAGACCCGTGTGCAGCCGGCTCTGGTCAGACCTTCATCAGTACTTTGTTGTGTTCAACACTTTGGATCAGAACCTCTCAGGTCAGTTTCATCTATTCTATCTGTTCTAGTTCTAGGATGAAAATATGTTTTTTATTAAATTTATGGGGAGAAATATGCAAATTGAAAAAGTTAAAAAGAATTTTCTTCCTTAGTTTTACGCATTTTGAATGTTTTTAAATTCATTAAATTAATTAAAATGAGATTTTAATGAATTTATTATCTTTACTGAAAGAAACATTAGATCTTTAAACAAAAAAAACTGACATTATCTCTACTGTGGAGTTTTTGCTGTAAGTTAAATCTAAAATAAATCTTTTAATGTTGCGTTTGTCTCAGTTTTTTAAATCAGATTTTTTGTTTTCTTCATGTAGTTTAATGGGAGCAGCTGCAGCGCCGCGCCGCTGCCGTGAAAACACTCCAGTTAGACGCATTTAATGAGTTTTAATTAAACACACAGAATCTGCTTTATAAAGCAAAATATGATTTAAAGGAATTAATCAGTCTTTTTCTTGTTATTAAATCCACAAAAATAAGGTAAAATCTGTAAAATGTGTGGATTTCAGTTTCCTGAACATGTTTTGCATTTAATAATTTACATAATTTAATATAAATTCTGCATTAATTTTTTTATTTTTAATATTTTTGTTGTTCCTAAATTATTTTGATCCTTTTTGTGTTGTAGCTTTTGTTTTATTTTATTCAGAAAATTAATCTCACTCAGAACTGATAATAAAAGTTATGCTGTGTCAAAATTAAATTTCTGGGATTTAATATTTGAAATAATTTAAATACATTTTTTAAAAATTTTGTCTAAATTAGAAACTGTCTGCCCACATTTAAAAACACATTAAATTATAAATAAAGGTTTTTTATGAAATGATTTCAGTGCATTTAATGTTATTTAGTCATTATCTTAAACCATAATTTAATTATTTGATGAAACAGAAAAAAATATGATTTTTATATATAGTGTAATGTGACAGGATGATCTGCATTTCTAGAGCAACAGATTTATTTTAATTAATGAAACATAAACAGATTCATGAGTTAAATTAAGATGAATGGAAATGTTTTTATGTATTTAGTAAAATCTGGGACAATATTTAAGATTCATACAAAAAATTTAATTAAAATCAGAAACAGGTTTGTTCAGTTTCTGTCACTGAAGCAGTAAATTTTAAAATCTGAATCTTTTTTCAGGTTAAAAGTTTTTATTTTCATAAAAGCTAATTTTCATTAATTCAGTTAAATCATCTGAAACCTCTGAGTGGTTTCATTTTGTGCTGTCCGTGTTTATTATCGATACTCAGATAAAAGGCAGAGTTTGGACCAGAACCGGACCAGATTTCTGCACCGATCCGGAACCGACAGGAATAAATGATCAGTTTTTACCTGAGCTGATTTCCTCCAGTTTCACTTTTAAAATCTGAGAAAAATAACCAGTAAAAATATTTATCAGGAGAAAAAAAAATGGGAAGAGAATATTCTGTGGACTGAAGAGACGAGTTCTGTTGGACCTGCTGCAGAACCTGCTGCAGAACTGCATCATTATGAGACCTGCAGGCAGGCATGGTGGTGGCAGCGTCATGCTGTGGGCTGCTTTAAGACCTGGACAAAAAGAAGGTCCAGGTCTGAAGAACAGTTGGGTTCTGCAGGAGAACAATGATCCAAAGCACAGAAGCAAAGACACCTCTGCATTTTAGAGTGGTATAGTCAAAGTCTGGTTTTAAAGTGGCACTATTATGTGTTCACCAGATATTTTATAGCAAAATCAAGTAACTAAGTTACCTTCAATTGACATAAAAATGTTATATTTATTAAATATGACTGAAGAAATTTGACTTTGTAATTCAACACCTTGAAATTGGGCCTCTGTCTCTTTAAGAACTCCTGCTCTCCCTGAAGCTCCGCCTTCAGGAAGTCATCACAACATGGCGCTGTTAACGTTTTCACCAGCGTTGCTCTGAAAAGCAGCTCCTATAACTGTTAGCTGTTTACTAATTGCTACTGGCTAGTCTGAAGGAGCTGGATGGGGAGGAGCTGCGCCTCAAGGGCGGGGCTAGGTCCACCCAGGTGTTTTGAACAGCTGAATGGTTGCCATGGAGATTAAAGCATTTCTCAATAGAGGGAATAACTTTATAACGTGCTAAGAAATAAAAAAAGTTACATTTTACCTAATGTTGCCCTTAAGGAACTGAATTCAGTCGATTTAGAGAAGGAGGTGAAGTTCCTCTGCAGGGAGTTAAAGAGTCGTTACCAGGAATCATGAACACCTGATTGGGTTAACAACCTCTTATTAGGCAGAGGGGGTGATTACTTTTGGCTTTAGGGTCTCAGTCTGAAGACTTTCCCCTTTAAGACTCTTAATTTGACGGTAAATGTTGGAGGTAGAACTGCTAATTGAGCTTTTAGTCTCCTGATCTTCGTTGGTCCGTCATTAAGACATTAAGGCACAAAGCTGTTTGAGTATCTCTCTCAAACCATTTGTTTGGCTACTGGACGTATGCAGACCTGCTGAGTAATTACAGCGCTGCTATTATCCTCCAGGGTCTACGGCTTCTGTGGCTTTTATTTTACAGGACGTCTCGGTAATTTCCGAACAGTTAGGAGCTTCAATAACCTGCAGCCATCAGCCTGCTATTAGACATCAGTAGAAATGTAATGACTGAAGTTTTCTGATGTCGTAATTAGAGCCAACGTCAAATTATAACGTGCAGAAGGTTCTCAGTACCTGAATAGCTTTATTTTAAGACCTCTTTTATGAAATTATACTTTGGTAACTCAATGTTTGGATCTGCAGATGAAGGTGGAGGGCTTACAGGAGGACGGGGAGTCCGGTTCGGTGTCTTCTGCAGGCCGTGGCTCTGCGGGGTCGGCGTGCGCCATCGCGTCCGCCGAGCGCTGCATGTCCCGGCTGCTGAGCGCCGTGGAGAGCGAGCTGCAGGCCGGCCGGGAGAAGGGCGACCCGACGGAGAGGGAGCTGAAGGTAACTGGAGGACGCCGAGCTGTGGAGGAAGTTCCAGCTCATCACCAACGAGATGATCGTCACCAAGAACGGACGGTAACTCGAGGACTGAGTCCTCACTTCCTGTGTTCAGCAAAACGACTGGATACTGTTCAGGTCAAAGGTCTTCAGCAAGAAGGCGACCATAAGATCTATAGGATGTTGTTCAGTCATAATAAATGGATCTAGAGTCTCACTGCTTCGGTGTTTTGCAGTCCTGAAAGGAGTTCATTGGTAGATCTGCTGCAGGACTGGCCAACACCTTCCCAATGTGTCCAAGACGACCGTCAGGTCAACAGGTTCTGACGT